AATAGGTCTGTAGTTCGTAGATAGGGTGGGGTTACCTTTTTTGAAAATCGGACATGCATATGCGGTTTTCCAAATATTCAGAATTACCCCGGTTAACATTGACAACTCGAAAATGAGACAGAACGGGATGGCAATAATATTAGCAATCGATTTCAGGAATAAGGCAGGATACCCATCTGGTGATTTTGATAACTTTGGTGGAAGTTTTTGAAGAGCTGATAGAACAGAATCATAAGAAAAAAGGACATTATTCAAAGAATTATCGTGGGATGGTAGGTCTAGCACAGGTTTAGTACTGTAGTCAGAGACAAACACTTAAGCAAAAAAATTGTTCAGAAGGCTTGATTTTTCACAGTCATTAGTACAAAGGAAACCATCGGGTCTTACAAGTGGCGCAACAGAATTTAAACAGTTAAATTTTGAATTGACGTAAGAATAAAATTGGGTTAAATTGGAGTATGTATATATACTATGTATTTTTCTCAAGCAATACAGTTTTTTGTGATTTCAGCGTCGTATAAACATGAACAATTCTTGTAGTTGATAAGAACAAAAAGGTTATGAGTTCTTTTATAGTCTTTTATAAGTCTGTATAGAGTACGTTTTTTGGACGCTAATTTACGAATAGCAAGGGGTTGAACGAGCTTTTTTTTATTGAATAATGAAGGAATGTGAGAAGCAATAGATACACTCAGGACTTTACAAATAGCTTGCCAGAACGATTCATTGTCTGAGTTTTGTTTAGCCAACATATACCAGTTTACGTTAAGTAAGTCGTTATTAATCGAAATATAGTCAGCTTTATAGAAATTGTGAATACTAGATAGTTCACGGTGTTTGGAATTCATCAAATTACAATTAAATAGTATGGTGGAGTAGTCGCAAGTGCTGGTGAATGGAGCAGCTGTTTCCACATTGTAAACAATTTTTTAATTATTTGTTAAGATGTGGTCTAACAAATTACTAAGTCGAGTATTGTCATTTACGAGTTGGGTGAGAGCATTTACAAAACAAGTTTCTACGAAAAAATCATGGCACGCATCACCAAAACTGATAGGAATTGACCAGTCTTTACGTGGTAAATTAAAATCACGGGTTATTATACACGCAGAATCACACGTTAACAGAAAATTGGAAATCAATTTGCACATGGATTTGGTTTTAACAATGTTAGAAGAAGCACAAGGTGGGTGGTAAATACACAAAAATCTTATCTTGACGTGGTTTGAAGGAGCACTTACGTCGACACAGGTAAATTCAGTATTTTGAAGATCGTTGGGAATTTCTGGACAAATTTGGACTGAATGAATATCATTGTGCACCAATATAAGTGAGCTACCACCTTTATTGTCACGGTCATGTCGAAAAACTTTGTAGCCGTTTCCATTTAACAACAACGAGTCTGGAGTAGAGGTGTTTAGCCAAGTCTCTGTGATGAGGATGATATTATGGTTGCCATATTGGAGAAGGTTGTGTAGGTTTTCTAGCTTATTGTTCAGAGATCTTGCATTAAAATATGCACAATTTAACGTTCTGACTGGTTTTCATGATGGGAGAAGATTGTAGTGGTCAATCATTCGATAACTTTTTATGCATGGTTTTTCCTTTTGGTGATGCAAATACGTAACGTTTCTCGTTTGATGATTCTTCAATGTTGATACAGCAAATTTGTTTAGTGCGGCGGTGAACGACATAACGAAAAGGATTATCGAGAAGGCCTGTTTCATTAAGTTCGTCGTTATGTGCTTTTAACGTTTTGCGTTGCTCTTTGAATTCCGTTTGTTGTGCCGGGGTTAGGTCTTCGTGAATGAAAACACCTTTAGACTCATCGACTGAGTGGCGAATTGAAGTACCTCATTTCGTCAATCTTCGCTGTCGAAGGTAACTTTTAATAAATTCAGAGCGGGCCTGCTACTCTTAGGTTTTGGATTTAGTCTTCGAACTGAATTAATAACCATAGACGCTACACAAGCATTAAAAAATTTGGTAAGGAGGGTTATGTAATTTTTAGTTTCGGATTTGTCAAGGCCAACAACGATGACATTTGATGCATGTTCGTTTCTGTCCTTGGCGTCGGCAGCCACCATGTTTATAACTTGGTGGCTTTCTTTGAATGATTTTTTTAAGATAGAAGCGAAAGTCTTCATGGGGTTGTTTGTTTTATTCATTAAATCAACACTAAGCTTGGTCGATGTTATGTCCAATTTGGTTAGGTCAGACTTCAGCTTGGCAATTATAGAGTCTTTTGACGCTAAGTTATTCTCAAATTTCTGTTTTCGAATTTGTAAGCTTGATACCTGTTCGTTAAAATTTGCTTCAAGTGCGAGAAACTTTTTTTCAATATCTTGCAGTTGTTTAGCCGGGACCATTTTCAAAATTGCGTTTCAATCAAATATATATATATATATATATATATATATATATATATATATATATATATATATATATATATATATATATATATATATATATATATATATATTATCTTATTACACAGGGA